CGGTGACCCTTCCTCAGAACCGGACCCGAAACGTTAACTGTTTTTTTCCTTCACAGATGCTGCCAGACCTGCTGAGCTTTTCCAGCAACTTTGTTTTTGTTCCTGATTTACAGCATCCGCAGTTCTTTTGGTTTTTATTTAGAATGACGGTATATTGTGCAAAAAAATTGAAATTAATAACTATGAAAGAAAAGGGGGGACAAATGTGGATACCAGGACTTCGGACAATCTATTACAGAATAAGAAAACTTACTTTGAAAGGGGAACAAAAAAAAAGGCAGACACAAATTCGACTTCTCTCTAGGTATCGCTAAGCAACTAGAGAGGCATTGCAAAACAGACGCCTGGATTGGTTTAGAAAACTGTCGATCAAACAACGGTCAAGCTTCCGGTCATATGAAACCCGGGTACACAAAGAGGAAGTATGGAATACAGTTATTCCGCTGTTTGGAGCAGGTAATCAAACAGAAATCTGCCCATTGTTTGAATATGCAGAGTGAAGCTTTAGTCATCTGTAAGACAGCAGTTCTTCATTTTAAATGATCATCTGGTTTTAATTTCAGTTTAAGTCTAGCAGCGGAGTGAGGAGGCACAGCAAGGGAAAATCAATGGAGGAGGAATTGAACCACACATCAGCATTTGAGAAAGATCCGTTCAAGCTCACAGCTGAAGATGTCTACGATATGTCTTATGTCATTGGCCGTGATTTATTCAAACTCAGTAGCTCAGAAGACAGCCGTACAGTCTCCGAGCTGCAATATAAAGTAATCAGAGTTCTAGAAATATTCGAGTTGCTGGTGGACAGGCAGAACCTAACAGTCGAGAAACTGAAAATTGAACGGGACAACCTGAGGAAGGAAACAGAAAGGCTTCACCGGGAACTGCAAGTGGCAACAAGCGATTCAGAGAAGCAGCAGAAGAATGGGTCAGACAAACTGGTGGTCGATGTTAATGACCCAAATCGGCCTCGTTTCACGCTCCAGGAACTGACGGATGTGTTGCAAGAACGCAACAAACTTAAAGCTCAATTACTTGTTGCTCAAGAAGAACTGGAATGTTATAAAAGCGGATTAGTGTCCACAAAGGATCCACAAAGACTGGAAAAGAAGGCATCTGGTGCAAATCGTGAAAGTGAACAAACTACGGTTAAGAAACTGTTTTCTCTTAAATATCGAAAAAATCATTAAGCATGCGGGACACAAGGATCTTTAAAAAGGTTCTGAGTACTCATTATTTTCGTAGTCATAATACTCATTATTTTCTTAAACAGAATGTATTGATGCAGGAATTTTCAAAGTTTAATTTTCTAAGAATCCAAAAAATAGGTTTTGTTACTTGTAATTTTTTTTTAAAAAGCTGTATTTGTTTTTCTATGTAGAGCAAGACTGCAAAAAGAAATTAAAGTAGATTTAATTTCTAAGTATGTTTCAGAGATAGTAGGAACTGGAGAATCTGAGATAACAAGGTGTAGAGCTGGATGAACACAGCAGGCCAAGCAGCATCAGAGGAACAGGAAGGCTGACGTTTTGGGCCTAGATTTCTGAAGAAGGGTCTAGGCCCGAAACGTCAGCCTTCCTGCTCCTCTGCCTGCTGTGTTCATCCAGCTCTACATCTTGTTATCCATTAATTTCTAAGTAGTCGTTTTTCCTTAATTTTGGGGTACAGCAGCAATGTGTTTATTTAACTCAACTAGAAATCCAAAGGCCTGGGCTAATGATTTGGAGACTGGAGTTCAATGACAGCCAGGAAATATAAAAAATCTGGAATCTAGCATCACTGAGGATGACCACAGAACTTCCATATGGTCATAAATACTACCCTGGTTCACTTGGGGAAGGAAATCTGTCATCCTTTAAAGTTTTGGCAAAGATCTGTAGCTCAGGTTGTGGATGAGGTTGTTGGCTTGCTCACCGAGCTGGCTTGTTTTTGTTCAGACATTTCATCACCATGCTAGGTGACATCATCAGTGGAGCCTCCAACGAAGCAATGTTATTCTACTCCGCTTGGAATTTATACTGTCCGGTCTGTTACGGTGAGTACTGTCAGTTCCGGTTTTGATCTGTATGGGTTTGTATATGGGGTCCAATTCTATACGTTTGTTGATTGAAGTATGGGTGGAGAACTGTGCCTCTAGGAATTCCCGTGTGTGTCTATATTTGGCTTGGGCTACTATGATTACCTTGTCCCAGTTAAATTGATGGCCTTCATTGTCTGAATGTACCAATATTAAGGAGAGTTTGTCATGCCGTTTCGCTGTTAGCTGATATTCATGTATTCTGATGGCTAGTTTCCTTCCTATCTGTTGGATGTAATGTTTATGGCAGTTGTTGCATGGTATTTTGTAAACCACGTTGGTTCTGAGTGTTATGGGAATGGGGTCTTTAATCCTTGTAAGTGTTTACCGCAGAGTGGCTGTGGGCTTGTGGGCTACCATGATTCCTAGTGGTCTTAGGAGTCTTGTCAGTTCCGATATGTTCTTGATGTAGGGCAGTGTGGCCAGTGTGTTAGGGTTTACCGTGTCATCCTGTTGCTGTCTGTTTTGTAGGCATCTATGGATGAAGTTGCAGGGATATCCATTTAAAGCGAGGATCTTGTATAAATGTTCTTCCTCTTTCCTGCATAGTTCTGGAGTATTGCAGTGTGTCCTGGCTCATTTAAATACTGTCCTAATGCAGTTTTGTTTGTGGACGTTGGGGTGGTTGCAGTGGAAGTTGAGGAATTGATCCATATGGGTTGCTTTTCTGTATACCCTGGTTTGGAACTCCGTTTGTCAATCGCTCTACTTTAACATCCAGAAACAGAAGTTGATTGTTGGTTTCTTCTTCCCTTGTGAATTTAATCCGTGAGTACGCTTTTGATGAGGTGGTGGGTCTCTTCTAATTTGTTGCGTTTAATAATGACAAAATGTGTCGTCCACATTCCGAATCCACAGTTTAGGTTAAATGCGGGGGAGGGTGGTGTATGACTGCTTCTGCGATGAGTCCTGAGATGGGTGACCCCAGTGGTGTACCGTTGATCTGTTTCTGGATGTTAAAGTACAGCGATTGACAAATGGGGAGTTCCAAACCTCAGTACACAGAAAAGCAACCCACACTGATCAATTCCTCAATTTCCACCGCAACCACCCCAACGTCCACAAACAAAGCTGCATTAGGACACTATTTAAATGAGCCAGGACACACTGCAACACTCCAGAACTACGCAGGAAAGAGGAAGAACACTTAATCAAGATCCTCGCTTTAAATGGATATCCCCACAATTTCATCCATAGATGCCTATAAAACAGACAGCAACAGGAGGACACAGTACACCCTAACACACTGACCACACTGCTCTACATCAAAAACATATCGGAACTGACAGCAAGACTACTAAGACCACTAGGAATCACTGTGGCCCATAAGCCCACAGCCATTCTATGACAAACACTTACAAGGATTAAAGACCCCATTCCCACAACATGCAGAACCAATGTAGTTTACAAAATACCATGCAACGACTGCCACAAACATTACATCAAACAGACAGGAAGGAAACTAGGCATCAGAATACATGAACATCAGCGAGCAGCAAAACAGCACGATGAACTCTCCTCAATATCGGTACATTCAGACAATGAAGGCCATCAACTTAAATGTGACAAAAATTCTGATAAAACCATTGCTATTCTTGAAAGTATTGTGATACTCCAAATCCTGGTAATCTGGAGGGATGGGGCACAGACTTTATATGGATAACAAATTGCATGCACAGCTACCACGTACCTCTCCTATCAACCATAAAGGGCCATGCTATAGGTCCATTCAGCCTTACAAGAAAAAGATGCGGTCTGGGACTGACCTCACAAATACATAGATCCCTGGGCATCGAATCCACAGATAATGAGGAATGAGTGAATATTGTTTCAAGTTACACAGAAACTGTATGTAAACAAATGTCGTTTATCCTCACCCTGAGCTCAGATAAAAGATAAATGTATGATACAGATGAGCTCCTAAAGTAGGACTTAAAATTAACAGGTCTCCCAAAATGCAATGATTAGACTTTACTACACAACAATAATTGTTCTGACTTCTTACAGTACTAGTTTGAGACAGATTCTTGCTCCTGCAGTGATGAAAGAGCAAAGCAATCTCTGTGGCCATGAAATGCAACCATCTAGGCAGCAGAAGAATAGTTTTCCACACTTCCCCTTTGTGTACCCTTCTTTTGTGTGACAAGAACCTGGACAATTGTTTAATTAACATTTTTCTAAACCAATCCAGGGTTTGTTTTGCAATTCAACACCCCAGTCTCAAGACCCACCCCAAAGTAGAATTTGTGGCTGCTTTTTCTTGTTCCCTTCTAAAAAGACATTTTCTGCCAATTGTAGTTATACAGCAGCTGGTGTGAAGCCAAAAACAGGAAAGAAAGTTTTTTTTTTTTGCGTAACGCCTTTCACAAACAGACTTCACAAAGTGCTTTACCAGCAATGAAGTACCTTTCAAACTGCATTGTCTGTTGACATCCTTCACCCATATCAACTGCGCATGCATAGACCTGACACAGCACATGCCTCTACTATGCATGTTCCATGGCATTAGCAAATGCAGCCTTTTGAAACATGGTCACCATAATAAGGTAAGAAACAAGGCAGCCAGCTCACACACAGTAAACACTATCAAATAGCAATGTAATGACGACCTGGATAAACTGGAATTTGTGATATTGATCAGGAGATAAATATTGTCCAGGACACTGGAGAAAATTCCCCTTTGAAATAGTGCTGTGGGACCTTACACAACCTTATGACTCAAAAGATGAGAGCTGTACAAATTGAGTCATGACTGCTCGGGATAAATGCATCAACCGAGGCACTCCTATCTACAATGAAGGACTGCGCAATCAGACTGGATGGGTCTATTAGAAAATAAAAAGATGTGCAACTGTTCCCTGGAAATGTGCTCACGTCACTTTCTTAAAACTGCTTCAAGTGACTTCACATCATAATGGTAACCTGAAACAGCTGAAAATCAATGCAAGGCATGTCGTTTGATAAGCCTACAGCATTGAACGTGTGGAAGGAGTGGTACTTAATTTCCAGTGGCATCTATTGGTCTTTTCATTGCATTCCCACGTGCTAGAAAATTCAGTCTTTTCAAAGTGCCTCTGGCTTATGGATAAGTAATATAAAGTATACAGTGTTTAGTTTTATATGGATGGGTCAGGTTTTTGAAAACTGCATGAACCCCTGAGTTTTGTCAGTTACGGGTTCTACAGATTTCATGCTCCTGCAGACAGTATCAATGTAAAATATTTATGCTGCCTTTGGTAGAGATTATTAGATACATTTATTATTCAGTAGTTTTTAGGTACACAAGACATGTATTTAAGGGACTAATTTTCCTACTAAGCTGTCAGAACTGGATAAGATAATGTTTTGAAATAGTTCAGTCATAATTCTATATATTTTTTCCAAACAGATATTTTGTAAGACTTAAATGAACCCTGTTTTATGAAGTTAATTGATTATGATTACAGTTTCACTCTGTCCATCCTGCTAAATTTCTTGCATCTGTCATGAGACTCTAGGAAAAGTTTCCAGTGCCACAGTGGAACAGCAACTCTTCTTTCTTGTGCTGAGAAAATAAATCCTCTGCCAATGTGAAGAGTGACACAGCCAGATCCAAACTTTAACACATGTTGACACCCAGTCAGGAAGTTAATGATGATTGTGATCAGAAACCGTGGCTGATTGTTCAACAATCACCCATCAATCCTGTCCCAACACCACTCTGCCCCATTCACCCGTACCGTCCCCCCCACCACACACACAACTATTTTTTTCCCCAAAAAGGTCACCTGAAACATTAAGAGACAACAAGGTGCAGACCTGGATGAACACAGCAGGCCAAGCAGCATCATAGGAGCAGAAAGGCTGAC